CCTCCAGCTCCAGCTAAGCAGCAAACTCCAGCCAACAGCTCAGTGTTGCTCCCTCTCTCCACCACCTCCTCCTCCTCCCCCTGCTGTGACAGCCTCTGGGGCAGGGTTGCGCTGCATAAGCCCAGCCCAATGCATGAAAAATTTACCCAAGGGAACACAGGTTTCCTAAGCCACTCTAAAGCGGAGCACCTTCATCTAATACCTCATTTGAGGAAGGTTAATTTGTTGCATGATCAGCAGAGATTCTGGTTTTCTGTGATAAAAAATCACAAATTCTCTGACAAAGTTGCAAATTCTTTGATAAAACTCATCAAATCCATTATTAAAATTAAATGCCCCCCAGCCCTGCCAGAAGGGGCCCCCAGCTGCCAGGGTTATGGGGCCAGGGATCCAAGTCTGCAGACCTCTGCCCCCAACAGCAGGCAGCTGCAGCAGAAGCAGCATGGAGCCAGCTCCCCCACTGCTGCTGCCTGCTCGGGCAGGGCCGGGGCCAACTCCTGGCTCCCCCCACAGACCTGCCAGAGGGGCCCTTAGCCCCCTGCAAGCCCCACTTACCTCACACGCTCCAGGAACAAAGTGAGGCTGAACTGAGCCCAGTGGTGGCTGACTGAGAGCTTCAGGCCCTGCCCTTCCCCCTCCCACTCTGGGCAGGGTTGGGGGTTTCCTGTCCTGTTTGCAAACAGCTCTTGTAGGCTGGAGCTTAACCCACTTGCAGAGCTCTTTGCAAAAGCGGAGAATCCTCTGCCTTCTCTGCTAAAGGGAGAAATCCATCTTTTCTCTGATAAAAAAGAGAAATTCATGGCTTTCTCCATTTTTCTGTGGGAAACAGAAAACTTGGATCCCTGATGATCAGCCACTTTAAAAGCACCCTGCATCTGTGCACCTGTGTCATAGCGTGGCTGTAGAGATGCTTTCAGGGGCCCAATCGTGTGAAAAATCTAACTTGTGTAAGTGTTCCTACTGACAGCTTGGGTTAGTGAAGGAGGGAAGCATGAAAAGTAACTGCCCCCTTGTTTAAAAATCAAAGCCAGAGCTAGCATTGGCAAATCCTGGAGTGTTTACTCAGGTTTTGCTCCTGTTGTGGGAGTCCTTTCTGAGTTAGGACAGCAGAATTTGGGATCTGGTCTAAGTCTCTTTGAAGCCCAGAGGTAATCTTTCTTTTTGAATTCAGAATAAGGATTGTATCAGGCTTTTGGGCCATCAGATAGAAAAAAATATTCTGTGTAGACATCACCAAAATGTTCACTTTCTCCTACTTGGTTGCCTGTGTTGGCAGGAGAGAAGCTATTTTGAGAAATTATGGCAGGTTTGATTCTGTTGTTGCAACTGCTTTATTCTGAGGAGGTGTTACACAAGTGCAAGGCATTGGCATTATTTAACATTTCTATTGCAACAGAATCAAGAGGGCAACCAGTACTTCATTGTTCTAGGTGCTGCACAAATAGAGAATAAATTACTCCTTTTCATAATCAGCTCTTATGTACTTTTTTTTGCCAAACTCAGCCTACTGAAGAAAGCAGACTTTCAAACTCTACTGGATCAAGAAATGAGTGTGTCACTGCTTGTGTAAGTACAGCATCACTTTTATTTCCTGGATTTAAAAAAATCACAAACCTTGAATGTTGCGTATAGTGCTGACAGGATCTGTCATCTTCCCTTCTCTTTACAAAGATATAGCTTTTAAATTACTGAGTACGCACAGATTTGCTCATGCCATCTAATGGTTCCAGGTGCCATATCTGAGAGTTGACATAGTTCCCTGCATGATGCAGGGTCTACAGAAGATGGTTTCATAGCTTGTCATCTTAATATTTTCAGAAGCATTGACCCCTCACAGCTCCAGTGAAGTCACAGGCTGCTGGGTCTGCTCAGTACCTCTGACAATCAAAAGGTCCAAGTGTTAAATTTGATTTAGAGTCTTGTTGTTCAGTCTCCTGCATATTCAGAAGATAAGAAGAGGTGCTTCAAAGGTGGTGAATCTTTTAAAGTGAAACAGTATTTTAGCATGTAAAGTCGTATGCAATTCCTATTGACAATGAAAGAGAGCAGTGCTATTGATTTCATTTGGCATGGCATTCAGTTTTTGGCCGTTAACATGAATTTCTATTTCGAATTCACCAAAAAGTTTGTGAAGAATTTCTCTCCTTTGGTTGCCAGTTTTGAACATTTTTTAAGTAGTGTGCTGCATGTGTCGACAGAACTTTTTTTGCAAGTCTTATCAGCATGTTGTGAATGTGAGCAATTTTTTGCTGCTAATAACATCTGTGTTCTTCCCTGTCTATGAATCAGACTACTGGAAAAAATACAACTGGATTCTGTTCTGAGAATATCATCTTCCCTGTAAGTAGTATGCAAGTGTCATGTTTCCATTCCCCTCTACCCTGCCCCCTCAAGGAAAATACACATTTTGAATGCTGTGTTTTAATACTGGCAGCTGGCAAGGTCTTGGTATCATCCCTTTGTTGATTGAACATACAGCTTTTACATTGAGTAAATAATGTAATAATGCACATTAAAATAGGTTAATGCACATTAAAGCACATGTGTAGATGTGTCTTGAGGGATCATCAGTACCTTTTGTAAATGAGGCCCAGAGTCTTCAGGAAGACAGGTTTGGTACAATAGAGTCTGTTTCAGACTGTGGGGCAGATCTTCACCTGGTAAAAATGTCCATAGCTCCATGACTTCAGTAGGACTGTGACAGGTTGCACTAGCTGAGGATATGCCACTGGAACGTTATAATACATGCAGTTATAGGTGCAAAAGTTTAGTAATTTGTTCAGTGCCATGTATAAAAGAAAAAAGCTAAAAGTTAAATGAGATCAAGTGCCTGTAAAACTGTGAAGTAGTTGGAAAAAAACTGATACATTCTTAAAGCCAAATCCAAAGTCATCTATCATCAGTGAGAGTTTTTTTTCCATTGATTTTAATTTGCTTTTAGAACAGACCAATTATGTCATCAAAAGTCTTTATATCATTAACCAACCCACATGCCAGGCAGGCAAATAAGTAGAGATGTCTGTATGTTGCAGTTGTGATTTGTTCAAGCTGGCAAAAGTATTAGAATGGTTAAGAATTTCTGGGTCCCAGCTACATACTCAGGTCACTAGACTTACGTCATTTCTGTAAACCAGAATTGAACTTAAAGAGAATGAATAGAAATTCATTTTTTAAACTAATCATGTCTAGAGAACAAATCCCTTTGCTAGCAGCATTTCTTTTTCATATGTACCAGATATTGCTTTCATGTTTTTAGGTAGATGCTTTTATATAGGATAAATCAAAAAGTAAGTTTGTAACACCTACCCCAAACAAACAAACAAACCCAAAACCAAACAACTCCCCCCCCCAAGATCTGCCTTCTAGTAGAATTAACCAAGTTAGATAATTAAATCTGTCATATGGTTTAATTCTGTTTTGTCTGGTATAAATTATGATGGCCACAAATTTACTAACTTTTGAAGTGTAAAATGTACTGTGCACACGTGAATTTTTCAGCTTTTAATTTTTTTCTATTACAGTATTATACTTATTGCTGCATATTGGCGTTTATTGCTTGCTCAGCATTCCTTCGAATGAGCTTTGAACTGAAATTTCTTCTTCTGTCTGTTGCTGTCACTGTGTACATCGTAATTTTTAATAATTTGAGTAGAAACTGTGACCCTGAAAGGTATGATACAAAGTTCCTCATGATGGACAAAAGTTTTACATGGAAAGGGTTGTCAGAGTCCTGAACTTTCATTGGGGTTTTAAGTATTGCAATATGAGACAAGAATTTTTAGGAAAATTTTGTGAAGTGATTAATGAAAATATTGTTATGATTCATCACTTCCAGCCTTTTTGCTGACTTCTTCCAAACTTTCCCAGAAAAAGTTTACTGTGGGATGTGAATGAGGGACATGGAATCCCACAATGCATTGCTTGTTTTGGGGGGAAGGATAAGGGGGAGGTTTAAAAACTGTTCTTATCGTGAGAGGTTTCAGCCTCATCTAGGAAGTAATAGCTTGGGAAAGATATTAAAAGTTTTTAATGTACAGTAGTAGCTGTACATTAAAAGTTTCCAAAATGTTTATTTCTATTCATGGTACATTTGAATTGCCAATGCATGCATGGTGTGCTTGCTCCAGGAGAGGCTGCAGAGTGTGTGTGTGCAGTGATAAACATGGGACATGGCTAACCCGTGCAATAAAGTGCTGCAGTGAAATGTGGCACACCTGCTCTGCACA